ATTGTCATTATCAAAGATTATCCCTGCTGATACTTTTATGAATACGGCATCATTTTATTTCTGGTGTCACACACCACCAGAAATTTTAATGTTTTGGAAATTAATGCAAACATGCCTCCTTCTGTAAGGAGGTGCCCATATAATCCCTGTGCATGGAAAGAGAAACAGGGAGAAGTCTCCTGTTTGCCAAGTTGGTGCACCATGCAAGACCACAGGCGTAAGGTCATCTTGGTTTTTATTCCTCTCATTGACTCTGGGTCCGGACAGATTCCTCTGCAGATACAGAAACAGCCCTTCATTTCTCATCTGCTGTCGTTCACACTTTCACACCCTCTCCTATTCCTCTCCCTGTGTCCAGTTTCCTGACTTCCACAAGGGTCAGCGTTTGTGTTTGGCCTCTGGTGCGTCCTTGCATGCTGTCCTCTTCTCTCTCCAAATGAGCCAGAGTTACAGGAGGGGACTTTGGTCCTGCTGGTAGGAAGAAGTAAGAGTGGCTCCCAGATCCCTTTCTTATGCTTATGTGGGCTTCCTTCTGGCACACCGTGGTACATGCTTGTGTCTCCTCAGTTTGGTTTAAGAGCCCCTTCTGTCAAACTCCCTGAGTAGGGCCTGCATTGTGGCATAACAGGTTATGTAACCTGCCTCCTGTGACACTGTCATCATACAGGGGTGCTGGTTCAAGTCCCAGCTGCTCTGCTTCCAATCCAGCTTCCTGCTAATGCACTGGGAAAGCAGCAGATGGCCCAAGTGCTTGGGCCCCTGCACTCACGTGGAAGACCCAGATGAAGCTCCTAGTTCCTGGGTTGGGACTGGTCCAGCTCTGGCCATTGTAGCCATGTGGGGAGTGAACCAGCACATGGAAGATATTTCTCCCTCTCTCCTTCTTTCTATCTCTCTTTCTCTCGCTGTCTCTACTCTCTGTGTAACCCTGCCTTCCAAATAAATAAATAAATCCTTTAAAAAATACAATCTGGGACCCTAAAATGGGGGAGGAGGTAATTCAAGCTGTGCTGTCCTGCTCTCACTTGCATCAGACACTTTGCCCCACAGATGAGTGGACAGAAGATGGGGGACACAAGCTCTGTGCCCAACAGCAGTGTGTGGCCACAGGGTTTTCCCCTACCTGCCAGCATGAACTCGTGTAGGGAAAGCTCAAGGTTTGATCATGTTTTGCCAGTGAAACCAACCAGTAATAGATAGACTAACAAGAAAAAAAAAATAACAAATTTATTGACATGCACCCTCACAAAGTATGAGACTCAAAGGGCTACACCAATGAGGCTTATACTTATACAGACCTAAACTAAAGGACACAGGTGTAGGTTTCTAAGGGATTGGGGATGAGTAGAGTAGAGTAGTGGGCTAGGATGGTTGGGGCCACACAGTGAGCAAGCGTTGTCTCGTTGCCTAGGTGACATCTCCCAGCTAACGACCACCTGTGAAAACATCTTTCCTTGTCAGAGAGGACCCTGTAAGCATGCACTGGCTGTTGACTCCATAGTGTAGATTTCCTTTATAGGTGCTAACTTCTGGACAGAGGGAAGCCTTTCAGAGTTAATTCTGTCTGCAGTTTTTTGAAATGGCCGTCTCAAAATATACCAAATAATTATATTTCAGGAGGGCATATTTTGGGGTCCTACTCTAGCCCGTGTTAATTCTGTGGCCTCATCTTCAAGACATCATCACTTAGTTGTTTCACAGAAACTACCCACACCCAGCCATTCCTTCCCTTGCTAGCACCAATGTATTTGCATGTCTCTTTGTGACATTCCTGATCAGTCTGATTGGTGTATCATTGTGTCCCAGCAAGGCCAAGAATACAGCCCCAGAGCAGAGCTTCAGTGGGGATTCACTTCCTTCTTGTCTGGCCTCAGTGGTGGCAGCTGTTAAAGCTTTATGGAAGCTGGGAAGCCACTATGCTCACCCCACAGAGTGTGCTCTGTCTTTCCTTCCCTCGGGCTTATCCTCTGGCCCCATCTGCTTCCCCTGGGAGGAGCAGGAGAGTCTTCCGCAGCCCCGCATGTGAGGAAGTGGGCCCAGTCACCTGCTGAAACAGAGACGGAAGCACAAGGGAAGCACCAGCCCCCGATACTCATCGTTTTCTCTGGGTGTCCCAGCGATGATTTAGCTGAGTTAGAACTGGCGAATGTGGCTGGCGTGTGAGCTGATGAAAGGGCGGGCCCAGGGATTCATGCACTCAGCAGCAGCATTTACTTGCAGATCCTTGCCAAGTGGGCCAGCAGAGGCACAGAGAACCAATGTGATCTCTCTCCTCAAGAAGAGGCTTGCCTGGGAGCTTCTGGCCTACCTTTTAGGATTTAGCCAAAAGCTTGGTTCACCAGGCCTCTTACATGGCCCCAGAGACTCCCCTGTAAAATATCGGCTGATTGTTGGAATCACACGGGGAGCTTTGGGAAACTATACACTCTTCTAGACTCAATCGAGCAGAATCTCAGGGTCAGGCTTTGGATTCTCTGCACTGAGAAAGCTTCCCAAGTGCCTGCTTTGGGCAACTGTTTTTATAGCTTACCAGATGTAAATCACAGATCTGGAAGAGGCCTGAGGAACTAACTTTTTAAATTTTTCCATTTTCTATCAAATAAACTCAGAGATGTTGTGTGCAGTATTGTGTAATCACAGCACTTTGTTGTTATCTGTAATGAAAAGCTATGCATGAAGTACAAATATGCCCAGTGAGGAAATGTGATACCCGGCTCCTCCTTTATACTGGGCCTCTCTCAGTGACTTTGTCTCACGTATGCGCTTAACTTTCGTGCATTTATTCACTTGACACGAGTAAATACTACATTCCAAGCTCTGTTTCAGGCAAAAGGACAGAGTAGTAAGTAAAGCCATCAAAAGCACTGCTATCATGGAGCTTCTGTTCAAGTAGGAGAGACACTAGAAATAAGATAAAGCATAGAGTAGCCTGATACAGCTGTGAATGGGGGCCAAAGTGTTGAGCAATGGGAGTTGGGTTGTAATTGCAGGTAGGGTGCCAGGGAAAGCTTCCTGTGCGAAAGCAACTTTAGAGAGTGGAGACCTGAAGAGACTGAGGGAACTCAACTTGTCTACATCAGGAGCATGATGGTCTAAGTAGAAGAAATAGCAAATATCAAAGCCTTGGGGCCCCAATGCCTGCTCTGTTACCTGTGCGGATAGTGGAAATGCAGCACAGTGAATGCTACCTTTACTCTGATGGGAGAAATAAGAGGAATAAAGATGTGTCAAGGAGGCAGGCAGGGCCCAGGCCATGTAGGGCTTGAAGGTTGATGTATACATTTGGAATTTTAGTCAGCCTGACATGAAACACCATTGGAGAACTGTGGCAAGAGTGTTCACACCTAAGTTATATTTTGATGGCATTTCCCATGAAGAGTTGAAACCAGAGTAAAGAAGCAGAAGTAGGGTGATCAGGTATGAAACTATGGTAATACTTTCAATCTCTGTGCGAGTAAGTATGGACATTGGTGTATGTGCCTCAGAGTAAGGTAGGACTGTTCAGTTCCCTGATCTGCTGAGCTCCCACACACCTCTCAGGATGAGAGCATCTACCTGCCATGTAGGTGATGCTCTGGCAGTTACAGGTGAGTGCTTTCTATCCTACATGGTCCCTAAACACTACCCAGCCCTTAAAGTGTCCACATCAGCCAGACCCATCACTCTAGTGCTGGAGATTGGTATGGTGCTGTGGTCTGAATTTTGATGTCACCTCCCCAATCCCCAAAGCTAAATCTAATTCCGAATGTGTTGCTATTAAGAGGCCAAGACTTTAGCAGGGGAGTGGGTCATGAAAGCAGAGTCCTCTTGAATAGAATTTTTGCTCTTAGAACAGGGACTTGAAGAGCAGGTGTTTGTTGGAGCTGTTAAGACAAGACTTTGGGCTGTATGCATCCCATGAATGAGTGCTGGTTTAAGTCCTGGCTACTCTGCTTCTTGCTGATGTATCTGGGTGGCAATGGATGATGGTGCAAGTACAAGGGCTCTTGCCACCCACATGGGCGACCCACATAGTGTTCCTGGCTCCTGGTTTCATCCTAGCCCAGCCATGCCTGTTGCAGCCATTTGAGGAGTGAACTAGCAGATAAAAGATTTCACATTCTCTGTGCCACTCTGCTTTCAAATAAATAAATTAGTTTTTTTTAGTTTATTAATTTGAGAAGTATAAACATACACAAACACATATTGGGGGTGGAATCAATAGAGCTCCCATCTGCTGGTTCCCTCCCCAAACATCTACAATAACTGGTGTTGGGCCAGGACAAAGCTAGGAGACTGGAACTCAACTGAGGTCCCTCATGTGGGTGGCAGAGATCCGATTATATGAGCCATCACCTTCTGCCTCCCAGGGTGTGTATCAGCAGGAAACCAGAATTGCGAAAGGAATTAGTATTCAAACCCAAACACTCTGATTTGCAGAGTGCAGGCATCCCAAGCAGTGTATAATTATTTTTTTAAAGATTTGAAAGGCAGAGTTACAGAGAAAAGGAGAGACAGAGAGAGGCCTTCCATCCACTGGTTCGCTCCCCAGATGGCCACAAAGGCTGGAACTGGGCTGATCTAAAGCCAGGAACCAGGAACTTCTTCCCAATATCTCATGCAAGTGCTGGGACCCAAGCACTTGGGTCATCTTCCACTGCTTTCTCAGGCCGTTAACAGGGAGCTGGATTGGAAGTGGGGCAGCTGGAACTCAAACCAGCATCCATATGGGATGCCAGCACTGCAGGAGGAGGCTTAACCATTGTGTCACAGTACCGGCCTCAGTGTATAATTATTTTTTAGAGAGAGGCTTTAGGGAGCATCTTTTCCTGTGAGGACTCAGCTAGAAGCTGCAGAATAGCCCCTCAGCAGACACTGAAGCTGCTGGCACGTTGATCTTAGATTTCTCAGCTGCCAGAACTGTGAGAAATAAGTTTCTGTTATTTATTAATTAGCTTGTGGTATTTTTTATTGTCACAGCCTGAGCAAATTAATACACACAGGCATCTGCTTGGGCCCTGGTGAACTTTAAGCAGCAGTTGCATCCTGCACAGTCTTCTGCCTCTGGTTGTCCTTAGTGTTTTGTTTCATGGGGTGTTTTGCGGGCTCCCAGATCCCATGCTCTTGAGAGCACTTTCCCACGTCACCAGGGCTGCAGCTAAGTTCTCTTCTAAGGCACCTACAAAACAGACAGATCTTCTTAAACTCCTATGGTTGAGCCTATTGCTGGCTGAATTCCCTCCAGTCTGCTTTTGCACCTCACATTCTTCCTCTAAATCATATCGTATCCTAAGACTTACCATTATAATTTGATGCCAAAAGCTCCTAGTGCATACACACTACACTTTAGGCGCCATCATCCCACATGGGTGCAGGTTCAAGTCCAGCTCTTCCACTTCTGATCTAGCTCCCTGCTAATGTGCCTGGGAAAGCAGCATAGGATGGCCCAGGTCCTTGGGTCCCTGTACCCACATGGGAGACCTGGATGAAGCTCATGGGTCCTGGCTTCAGCCTTGCTCAGTGCTGGACATTGCAGTCATTTAGAGAGTGAACAAATGGATGGAAGATTTTCTCTCTCTCTCTGTAACTCTGACTTTCAAATAAATCAATCTTAAAAAAATTTTTTTTCAAGCCACCAATCTTATTTGACAATCAAATCTGTTCTCGTAATGCTGCTTGCTTTTTTCCAAATCAATGAGCACATGCCAGCGTCAGCCATATTCTAAGTGTTCACGGTGTTAGCAGACAGTTGAAATACCTCTGAAGCCAGTCATTTAGCTCTATAGAGACTGATCTCTGTAGAAATGAAAACATACAAGGAGGGGATAAAGAAAACTTCAGGACATAAAGACGAGTCTGACTTGTTAAGATGTTTGCACCACAGGAATACAAGTAAATGAGTGAACCGTTTATTTCAGAGCATTGCCGTTCTCAACTATTCATTATAAAAATCTAGTGAAGAATAGAAAAATAGGAAGGTGTTTGTTGTTTTGTGTTTTATTCAGGTTGTGTGTGTGGAGGGGAACCATCTATTTATAAAGAATTGCCTGTCTTCCAGCCCAAGGGTGGCAAGAGATGAAACTGGACTCCCTAGGGTTTGCTGACAAATCTGAATGGCATTCCAAGGCGGCAGGGAGTGAGTCAGAGTGGTGGGCATCCGTGCAGAGGAGGAAGCTGACGTAGGCCTTGAGGCCCAGTGGTAATCCTGGGTGGCTGTGCTATGGTGGGGTGTTGAATCATCCCACCGGCAGGAGTTTTTGTTGTTGACTAAATACCTTGGCAGCCTTGGTCATGAGCTTGAAAGGCAGAGAGGGAAAAGAACTTGCATGAGTGTGTACCCAGTAGAGGCTTGCTGAGGTCCTTTAGGGCCCAACTCGGAGCTACCCATCTCCTACCCCACTGCAAAACTGCCTTTTGGAGCCAACACCATGTTTCATTCATTCTCTCTGTGCAAACTCCCAGTCAATCATTAACTACTAGATGAATGAATGATCAAAAATGTAACTGTGGGGTACGCTTAGGATCCGACTGGGCACAAATGTGTTTCCCATTGTTCAATATATTTTAATCAGAAACTAGATCCAATGTTCTCATCATTTCTCTGTTACATACACACTTTTGGGTGTTGGTACCAGTGAAGCGATCTAAATGTGAATACTCCTCTTTAGAAAGAAGTACTTAGACAATCTAAAGAACCCTTCCTGCCATTCACTGGATCACCATTCAGCACTGTATCATTGTTTACAGAAAAAAATTTTTTTTAATTTATTTATTTTACAGGCAGAGTTGCAAAGGGGTAGGGGAGACAGAGAAAGAGAAAGGTCTTCCATTCTCTGGTTCACTCCCCAAATGGCTGCAAGGCCAGGGCTGGGCCAGGCCAAAGCCAGGAGCTTCTTCCAGGTCTTCCACATGGGTGCAGGGGCCCAAGCGCTTGGGGATCTTCTGCTGCTTTCCTAGGCACATTATCACAAAAGTGGATCAAAATTGGAGCAGCCAGGATTGAACTGGCACCCATAGAGGATGCTGGCACTGCAGGCAGCAGCTTTACCTGCTATACCACAATGCTGGCCCCTTACAGAAAACTTGTAACTTCCAGGGCTCATGAAGCAGTATTGTCACATCTAATAGGTCTTCTGAGCTAATGTGAGAGCACACTTTCTTTCTCTGATGAGCAACAAGCAGTCGCTCATTCTCTCCCCAGCAGTGGCTTTCCAGCTGTCAGTTCCCCTGTGACAGCAGGTGGCTACCATGATGGCAGAACACAGATGTTACTGGTAATCAGTTTGGCAGCCAGTCCACAGAGAGCTTGAGGAACACTTATGTCTGAGGACCACACGCTTAGAAAATCATCCTAGAGGTGCTGCAGACATGATTCTTGTGCTGGGTGTCAGGCAAGACCAGCTCACCCCCAAAATGCCTTCCAACTCTGTCTCTAAGCTACTCCACTACAGTGACCTCGGCTGTTATTCCCTGAGTATGGTGCAGTCTGCTAAGAACATGGAGATTTTGAGAACATGGAGAATAGGAAGAGAGAAATGGCTGAGGGCAAAGTGACAGTTTCTTCTTGGGCCTTTGGTCTTCCAAGGCTGACATAGTTAGGTGAGCATGGCCCGAAAACTCCTGTTGTCTCTCCTCTTCCAACATCTTCTGAATCTTCCCAGTATCCACCAGCCTTTTCCTGCCTTGTCTTTGCCATGACCCTCAACCTTCAGTCCCATTCCTGCTTCATATCTATGGTAAATGATGGAAAAGAGAGGGAATGATGAAAAATGGTACGTGTTCATTAAACGTCTGCCGTAAAAGTAGCAAGTGAAGTAGCAAGATCCATGCCTTGACCACGGCTAACCCGGCTGGCTCCTCTCTCTCACAATCAGAGGAACCTTTCTGTGGGTGGGGGTGGAGCCTAAAACTGAGATTACCTGACCAGATGACCAAACCATGCTTCAGGCAGCCATGGCTTTGCTGGGTCCATTGGAGCTGCCAGTGAAAGTCTAGGCAATTGCACAGGTGCTTGACATTTGGGACAAGTAGGGCCATTGGGACCTTAGAGACGAGCATTCCTTCCTGTTGTGCCCAGATGAGGAAAGAGCAGGACCATGATCAGTGGTCCAGAAAACTCACTGGTGTGTTCCACAGTTAATAACAGGGGCACAATTTCCCGCAGGGGCACGATTTCCCGTACAAAAAGGATGTGAGACACTTGGCATTGTCACTTTGTTGAAAAGTTTAAAGCACTTTTGTTTGCGATGTGTTTAGCAATAGAACAGAAATAGTCATGTTATACATGTAAAGGGAACTTTTTTTTTTTTTTGACAGGCAGAGTGGACAGTGAGAGAGAGAGACAGAGAGAAAGGTCTTCCTTTTGCCGTTGGTTCACCCTCCAATGGCCGCTGTGGCCGGCGCGCTGATCCGATGGCAGGAGCCAGGAGCCAGGTGCTTTTCCTGGTCTCCCATGGGGTGCAGGGCCCAAGCACCTGGGCCATCCTCCACTGCACTCCCTGGCCACAGCAGAGAGCTGGCCTGGAAGAGGGGCAACGGGGACAGAATCCAGCGCCCCGACCGGGACTAGAACCCGGTGTGCCGGCGCCACTAGGCGGAGGATTAGCCTAGTGAGCCGCGGCGCCGGCGTAAAGGGAACATTTAATAGTAAAATATAGTGAATGAGAAATTTCCTTACTGCTGTACATTGTTTAGCTTGTCTCTTCCATGAAATGCTACAGTGGGAGTCTCCTTGTTTAAAAAAGAAAAACATAATTATTTATTTTTTTAAAAGGAAGAGTGACAGAGAGAGAGACAGAGACAGAGAGATAGAGGTCTTCGATATGCTGGTTCTCTCCCCAAATGTCTGCAACAGCTGGGGATTGGGCTAACTGAAGCCAGGAGCCAGGAACTCCATGTGGGTCCTTTACATGAGTAGCAGAGGCCCAAAGCACTTGGGCCATCCTCTGTTGCCTCCCAGGGGAATTAGAAGACAGCTGGGTTGGCCGGCGCCGCGGCTCACTAGGCTAATCCTCCGCCTAGCGGCGCCGGCAAGCCAGGTTCTAGTCCCGGTTGGGGCACCGGATTCTGTCCCGGTTGCACCTCTTCCAGGCCAGCCCTCTGCTGTGGCCCGGGAGTGCAGTGGAGGATGGCCCAGGTGCTTGGGCCCTGCACCCCATGGGAGACCAGGAAAAGCACCTGGCTCCTGGCTCCTGCCATCGGATCAGCGCGGTGCGCCGGCCGCAGCACGCCGGCCGCGGCGGCCATTGGAGGGTGAACCAACGGCAAAGGAAGACCTTTCTCTCTGTCTCTCTCTCACTGTCCACTCTGCCTGTCAAAAAAAAAAAAAAAAAAAAAAAAAAGAAGACAGCTGGGTTGGAAGCCAGGAGTAGCCAGGACCCAGAGCAGGCATTCGAATATTGGATGTGATATCGCAGGTGGGTGGCTTTGCCTGCAACACCACAGCATCTGCCCCACCTCTCCCTCTTTCAGCTTCACGTGCTTCCAACTTTTGTCTAGTTGTCCTCTTGCTGTGCCATAGAATCATGCTACCTTCCCATTCCTGCTGTCAAAGCCTGACCCTAAAATGTGGTGGTTTTGGAGATGGAGCCTGTGGGAGGTCATGAGGCCTGGATGAGCTCATAAACATGGGTTCTTCATGATGGCATGGGTGCCCTTGTTAGGATCCTGAGACATCAGAGAGGTCGCTCACTGTCCACCTCATGAGCAGCCAGGGAGAAGCTGACAAGCAGGAAGGGCATTCTCACCATCCCAGCACCTTGGTCTGGTGCTCCCAGCCACCACAGCAGCAGAGACGAATAAATGTCGATTGTTTAGGCCAGAGGCCCGTGGCATTTTATGATAGTAGCTCAATTGAAAAATATAGCCTACCTTTCCTCTCACATTCTTCCTGTCTTCTCCCTCTAATGCTTTCTTCCACGCAGAAGCTACCTTGGTTGGTTTTCCCCATTATCATTACAATCACATAAACAAAGTATTCTACCTATAGTGCATTCTTGAAATAACAAAAACCAGACAACTGTTGACCAGTTTGCCCTCTGGAGTGGCACCAAACCTCTCTCTTGCTGTACTAATCTGTTGAAGAAAGCTTCTCCTGAAAGGAGAGGAAAAAGCGAGAAGACAAAAGACAGAAGGAAGGAAGAGGTCAGAGAGAAAGAAGGCAGCACCTGATGCTCCACCTCCATCCCTGACCCTCACCGAGCACAGCCGTCTCTCCTGCCTGCCCTTCCTCTCCCAGCATCATCGCCTCCCATTGTGCTGCCACTTTGACTTGCTGTGCTTTAACCCTTGAAAATGCATGTTCTCAATCCATATCCTTAAATATTACTATAATTTCTAATGTTTGGAAGAGAAATTGTCCCATGGAGTCTTAAAATTTGACGAATTACCAGTAATAGTTGCTGGGGGCAGAGAAAAGGTTCCTTTCTATCCCTTTTGCGACACTAGGCGCATCCTCCCTGCCTTGCACCTGAGTGCACAAGCTTTGCCTCAGGGTCCCTTGGCAAGCTGCCAGGTGCCAGTGACTTTCCTTAGCTAACAGATGGATGATGGTTCATCTGCACGGGCTGTCACAGCCTGCCTGCTTCATCTGTAGCAGAGAGGTGGTACCTAGCAATAGCAAATACATTTGTTTATTTAAATGATTATTTCTTTATTTTAATATACTTGGAAGGCAGAACAACAGAGAGAGAGAGACAGAAGCAGAAATCTTCCATCTATTGGCTCACTGTCCAGATGCCCACAGCAGCCAGTCTCTGACATGGATAGCAGGGACCCAAACACTTTAGCCATCGTCTGCTATCTCCCAGGATGCAGTAGCAGAAAGCTGGATCAGAAGCTGAGCAACAAGGACTTGAACTGGTGACCTAGTAAGAGATGTGGGCATCCCAATTAGGGGCTTGACCCACTGCACCACAATACCTACCAGTTGTGCTTTTATTTAAAATTGGAGGCTCATAATAGTATATGTCATGGGTACAGTGGTAGGTCTTGTTTTCATGACAGGTTGAAGAAATGCTGGATCTTCCATGATAGCATTCATTCATGTGTTGCCTCCAGTAGTCCTAAAAATGATCCATGAGCTGTTGACATGCCTTATTGCTTACACCTAAATGTGCCTTCTCTATACTCAGAAACATTCGAGATTAGAGTGATGATGGCGGTGGTCATGCTGAGCTCTATCTTGAAGGTAGAGTTCACTTCCATGAGTTAATTATTTTGTGGGCAGCTGAAATTTGTCCATATAATCAAGAAGTATTTGTGATTTTTATCTAGAGATGCTGAAAAGGTTTCAGACCTTAAAGAAAAGAATCTCTTTGAAAAATATCCAGCTAACAGAATTTTCCAGAATCATCTCAAATTGTATTCCTGCCACTTCTAAAGCTGATTTAGGTTAAGAAACTAGCCTTGGAGTAGGCATCAGGCACAGTGATTAAAATGCCTTCATCCAGAGGCCAGTGTTGTGGCACAGCAGGTTAAGACACTGGCATCCTATTTTGGAGTGTGCATTTCCTGGCTTTTCCACTTCTGATCAAGCTGCCTGCTTCCTGGGAAAGCAGTGGGAGATGGCTCAAGTGCTAGGCCCCTGCCACCCATGTGGGAGACCTGGCTGGAGTCCCTGGCCCATGGCTTCACATGGACCAAATCTGGCAGTTGCAGCCATTGGGGCAGTGAACCAGCAGACAGAAGATTGATTGATCAGTGAATCTTTCTCTCTCTTTGTGTGTGTGTTTGTGTGTGTGTATCTCTCCCTCTCGCTCTCTCAATCTACCTTTCAAATAAATAGATCTTTTTTTAAAAAATGCCCTCATCCACTATTGGAGTGGCTGGATTCAAGTCTCCAGCTCTGCTTTCAATTCTAGCTTCTACTGATGTATACTCTCAGAGGCAGGAGGTGATGGCTCCAATAACTGGGTCCCTGCCACCCATGTCGGGGACCCAGATTGAGTTTTGGCCTTTGGGTTTCGTCCTGGCCTACCCCCAGCTATTGAGGGCGTTTGAAAAGTGAACAGATAGTATATCTCTGTCTTTCTGCCTTTAAATAAATTTTTTAAAACAATAATAAATAAAATTTTAAAAAAGAGGGAAATGAACTCACCTTTTTTCATTATTAGTTTACCCATAAATGGAATTGGCAGCCTTTTCTTTTTTTTTTTTTTTCCCAGCCAAACTGAAATTTGAATTGAGTGTGTTTTTGCTTGATGGTAGCTCCTGTGAAAGATCCCGTGGGACAAGGATCATGTGACACGGATGGCTGCTGTTTGTGGGTTGGATTTTCAAGGATCGCTCATTCCCAGGGTTCACTGGAAGTTACGTGCACACAAAACGGAGTTGGCGAGGGCTGATTCTCTCCTCTCCTGAGAGGCCTCCAAGTCCTTCTTCATGAGCACCCAGCCACTCTCTTCCCTTCCCTGGCCCAGGTTCCACGCTCAGTGAATCTAATGAGATGACTCCACGCTAGGGCTGTCTCAGATGAAGCATTTCATCTTGCCTCTCTTTGAGTTCTAAGAAACCCAATCTGAAGCTGCTCAGACTTTCCTTTTCTTGTTTGCTCTAGAAGACCGCTCTCTGGAAGAGGTCTCTGGGGGTCTCCCCGCTGTGGAAGAAGGTGACAGAAAAGTGACCCTCATCATGGAGTTGTCATGCCTGATTTCCCTTCACACGGACAGGATCAGTCAGCTGGAGGACATCCTGGAGGAAAAAGACAGGAAAATTCAGCAGCTGGAGGCGGAGCGGGAGCCCCCTGCCTCTGGAGACTTCCAGGACCCCCCAGAATGTTAGAAGAAACCTCAGTATTCTTTTGTGGTGGCATCACTATTGTGATCTCTAATAAGAATATGTGAAGATTCCCAGTAAGAAAACAATAAAGGATTTTTTAAAAACTGTCATTGAGGTAGAATCCAGAACCCAAGTAAGCCTCATTAGCAAACTCAAGTTCATAGGTCTGAATGCATCCTTTAAAGTTGGCACTGGAAGGAACCAAAACAAAGGGAAGCTTTCAGAAGCCAACCATGAATATTGCCCATTTAGCCAGCAGTAGTCACATACCCTACACCGCTGTAGCTTGCAATGCTTTTCTGTGGGGAGCAACCCGGACTAGACTAAGTTACTGGAATTAGGACTTATTCTATGCATCTGCTCTCCCACAATATGGCGCTGAGAAGGGAGTAAGAACTTCTATACAGCTGCCTCCAGTTCAACCAATAAACAGCAGGAGCTGCTCCTGATTGGAGGAGAGCAGCGTACTCGGCGTGTGGGTAGCAGAGTTGGGATTGGCGGAAGAGGACTATAAAGGAGGAGAGAGACAGCATGCACGAGGAACATCTAAGGGGAACACCTGTGCAGCCCCCAAGAGAGCCGGCCGGCGGTGTGCCGCTCCCCCGCGGAAGTGGGGAATGTGGCAGGGGGAACCGCCCTTCCACGGAGGTGGAAGGGTCGGCAGCCAACCCGGGAAGAACCAGCAGCAAACCCGGGAAGGGCCGAGCAGACAAAAGAACAGCGCAGGGTCCTGTGTCGTTCCTCCACGAAGACGGGGAGCGACATAATGGTGCCGTGACTCGGATAGAAAACTTAGGAGGGAAGAAATGGGAAAATACCGGAGAGAGAAACTAGCAAAGAGCCTAGGGAAAAGCCCGACGGAAAAGGTGCCAGAAGAAGCTATCGAAAGCCTAGGCATAGACTTGGATACGGACTGTGGGAAAGAAGTTAGGATTTAATGTGAAAGCAAGAAGAAACTTAGACTCAGATACGGACTGCAGGTTGAAAGTGAAAGTGAAACATATAAGAAACTCAGACTCGGATACGGACTGTGGGGAGAAGCTAGGAGAAATGAGGGAGGAATATTGTTGGAAGAAAACTTAGGGAAACATACCGGGTAGAGAAAAATGTTAGGGAGGATGAAGCCACGAGTGCAGGCCGAGGCGGAAACATAAGCCAGTTTGGAATTCTTTAAGTCAGCCCGGGGGGCAAAAGGCGAAAAGTTAAACCAGAGGCGGAAACGTGGGCCAGGTTGGAATCCGTCAGATTAGCCCGGGGAGCAAAGGACGGGAAGCCAGACCAAAAGGCGCAGACGTGTGAGCTAGGTTGAATTCGCCAGGTTAGCCCGGGGAACTTAGATTGAATACTAGTGGCGGAAACGTGAGCTGGGGCTGTGTGACTCGCGGAAGCCTCCGTGTGCAGAGAGAGCACGGGGCGTGAATAGATAGGGAACGCAGGGCTGGCGCGAGGCCGTGGTGCGGACGCGAAGGGCGTGGAGACCGCGGAGCGCGCAAAGCCAAGCCGCGCAAAGCCGGGAAGCCGTGCAGAGCCGTGAAGCTGCCGTGGGGCGGCGAGGTGCCGAGAAGCAGCCTCGGGGTGGGCGCCAGGAAGCCGCAGGGATAAGAGAAACAGAAGTTTTAGAAGTAAAATGAGAGAAATAGGAATGCTGGCAGATAGAAGTAAAATAGGAGAAATAGGAATGCCCGGAGATAGAGAAATAGAGAAAAATAAGGCCTCCCCACACCACAGCAATGAGAGGGCTTGGATTCGGTCTGCCTGATTAGTAAGGCGATAAGCACCAGCAGGCAGCTCGACCAGAGTATGAGCTGCAGGTCACCAAAGATAGGCACGAATCAACACCAATAAGTCTCCCCACAATACGGCAATGAGAAGGCTTGGATTCGGTTTGCCTGATTGGTAGGGCTTGTAAGCACCTGCAGGCAGTTCTAGCAGAGTAGAGCATGCGCTGCAGGGCACCGAACACAGGCACGCATCAGCACCTAAAAACCTCCTCACAACATGGCGAAGAGAGGACCCGGATTCGGTTTGCCTGATTGATAGGACTTGTAAGCACCTGTGGGCAACTCTAGCAAGCAGAGCAGAGTGTGTGCTGCGGGGCACCAAAGACAGGCGCGTATCAACGCCAAAAATAAAAAGAAAGGGGGATCTGTGGGGAGCAACCCGGACTAGACTAAGTTACTGGAATTAGGACTTATTCTATGCATCTGCTCTCCCACAATATGGCGCTGAGAAGGGAGTAAGAACTTCTATACAGCTGCCTCCAGTTCAACCAATAAACAGCAGGAGCTGCTCCTGATTGGAGGAGAGCAGCGTACTCGGCGTGTGGGTAGCAGAGTTGGGATTGGCGGAAGAGGACTATAAAGGAGGAGAGAGACAGCATGCACGAGGAACATCTAAGGGGAACACCTGTGCAGCCCCCAAGAGAGCCGGCCGGCGGTGTGCCGCTCCCCCGCGGAAGTGGGGAATGTGGCAGGGGGAACCGCCCTTCCACGGAGGTGGAAGGGTCGGCAGCCAACCCGGGAAGAACCAGCAGCAAACCCGGGAAGGGCCGAGCAGACAAAAGAACAGTGCAGGGTCCTGTGTCGTTCCTCCACGAAGACGGGGAGCGACACTTTTAGACATTCCTGGTAACATGGGAGAGGAAAGAGCATAAAGTTGGACAGATATGAAAGAACTTAGCATCATCCTCTTCCCAGGGGTTTGTCCTGCTGCCTGGGATGGATGGCACCAACTCCATCTGTTTGTGCAGCTCTGCTGTGAACAGGCAGCTGTTGTGGAGGGCCATCATCAGACCTGGGAGTGGAATTCCAGAAGCAGAATCGTCGGGCAGCCAAGTAAATAGCCGTGTGGTGCATCGTTTCATGTCCTTGTGGAGTTTATTTCTTTATGGCGTGCATTTTATTAACATTAGCAAGGGTGGAAATGAAATAAAACTGAAGCAATAAAAAAAAAAAAAAAAGGATGAATCAGAGCTTGCAGCCCTTTGGGAAAAGTGTCCTAGGACAGCATCTCCCTGGGAAAAGACACAACACTGGGTTTTCCCTCAGGAGAAGAGCAAGACCAAAACAAAACAGGCTCTTCTGTTATGATTGTACCACAGGGCAGTAAACAGCACAAAATGATGGCAGGAAGAGAGGAGCTCAGGCAAAGGAAAGTGACCCTGTCATTAATGGAATAGTGGGAATCACATATTCCTCTCCCACCCATCCCCCTCAAGTCCACTGTTCCCACTGAGAGGGAGCCTCTGGACACTCACTGTGACCAAGACCTTGGTTCTTCGTTCTCTCTGTCATGATACAGCATGACTTGGGCCAGTAGCTCCAGCTCCTTCATCAGAGCATCGGTAGAGCCCTTCTCAGCCTAATTCAACCCATTGAACAGATGCGCATCCAAACCCTTCTGCCTGCCAGGCATGACAATGGATGTGAGAAATCGCAAACACGAGGATCACAACTTCTGCCTTCCAGGAGGTCACAGACACTTGCAAAGGAAGGCTGACCATACCACCAGGTGCACATGGAAGAGGCAGGGCAAGGGAGCTGGGCCCTCATCTGGGGTGGAACTGAGCCGCTTCCGGGGAGGCGCTCACAGTGACTGAGCAGGGGTCAGTGAGAAGAATGCCTGCTCCTGCCCTCCGGTTCAGGACCCAGCAATGTGCATTTAAACAAAGACTTGTGGTTTCAAGCAGAGTTGTCACACTCTTGCTCTCATGGAAAATCTGGAAAATCCACTGCTCATTGCGGACTGGGGATGAGTCTTCTCCAGCACTTCACTATGACCTTGGTAAGGAACCTCAAAAAGCAAGTTTCCAAATCTGCTTTTTTTATGTAAAAAAAAAGAATCAGTTGAACTTGGACTCACATATATATGTTGGCTTTGCAATATTGATTCTTGACAAAAAAAAAAAAAATCCTACCAGCTGATTGTTTTCATACAGAGCTGAAATTGTCCTCTATTCTTATTTAACCTGTTTCACCTGCAATGGCTGCAGGTGTGTACAGTTGCACTTCAATATCAGAAATGAAACCAACTTAAAATTCGCTGATCTTGAACATGCACATGCCACAGGAAGTAATTTAAAGCACCACTTTTTGGTTTTTTTGGAGGGACTGGGTCTTTATTTCAAAAAGACACTTGGTGTCAAAACAGTTACACTGTTGGTTTCTCTTTCACCCAACTAGCTCCAAAGAGATTACACCCAAGGACAGTACATTTTTTTAAAAGATTTATTTTTTGTTTATTTGAAAGGCAGACTTGTGTAGAGAGAGAGATCTTCCATCCATTGGTTCACTCCCCAAATGGTCACAATGGCTGGAACCTGGAGCTTCTGTCAGGTCTCCCACACGGGTGTAGGGACTCAAGCATTTGGGCCATCCTCTCTTGCTATCCCAGGCTCATTAGTGGGTAGCTGGATCAGAAGTGAAGCAGCCAGGTCTCAAACCAGTGCCCATATGGAATACTGGTGTCACAGGCTGAGGCTTAACCAGCTAAGTCACAATGGCAGCCCCAGGATAGTACATATTAAGCCCATAAACTTTAAGATGTATACATAAAAGATCTCACCAGAACCTCACCAAAGCAGGGACTGGGTGGGGAAACGAACTTGGAAAGACAAGTACGCCTTCAGTGTACTTGTGTAGTGAGCTTTACTGCCAGATGGGCTGGCCAACGTCCCCAAGTCTAGAGAAGCAAAGTTTCAACATAATGGAACATTTCTAAAATTGTGTACATAAGCTTTTCAGGATGTCCCCAGCACTGACTGCTACAAGGCACAATGAGATGGCACTGTTAGAAACAGCAGCTTCAGCAAAGGGTGATGAGAGGACTTTTCTATCGCTAAATCAGTGGTGAAAACATAATTGTCTTTCTTTCAAGGAGGCAGAAACAGGAATGCAATGAAGTAGTCACTTCAACCCAAGGGCATATGATCCATTCTGCAGGCTATTGGAAGGGGCATTGGTGGGGCCAAAAATTGGTCTCAGGGTCCCCCCCCCCCATCTTAACTTGGTCACTTCTGATGAAACAAATTAAAAATTAAAAAAAAAAAATGTTGTCCCAAGGTACCTTAAAAGCTGTAAAGCTGAACAGCCTGGAGTTTTGTTTGTTTGGGGATAGCTGCTCTTAGAGTCACCTCTCTGGTTAGGCTGATACTTCACGCAGAGCACTGAGGTTCTCCACAGAGGAGTCTTTCCCTGGGCTCTGTCTGACTCCCAGTAAGGCAGGCCCGTCCCTTTTTCTCTTCTCTATGGAGAGGGCACTATGCATTAAGCTGAAAGGTAGCTTCCCAAAGAAAGAAAGGGATCAGAGTGAGTGCTGCTTCAGATCGTGGAATGACTTGGAACATTTTACAAAATGGTCACTCCAACAGCAGGAAATGTCACTCCAACAACAGGAAATGTCTCTCCAACATCACGAAATGTGTACATCACAACTTGAATGTAAAGACACTTGTGCATTGTGCTCCCAGTTCCCCAAAGTGCTTGATCTCTAGTCCTACTGGAAGGTCTTTGCAGAGGCAGAGACAGTTTGGTGGAAAAGACATGGGAAAGGCTTAAGGATGTTTAAGGAGTTCAAGATTTAAGCTCAAGGATGGAGAGGAGTGGCCAAAGGAGAAGGCAGCCTTCCAGGTCATGATCAGCCCTCGGTTTTGAGGTCAACTTCTGCAGCCTGGCTTTAGGAAGAGTCAGGTCATAGGGAGGAAGAGCAGCTGGGTGGGACTTGGGTGCTCTTTGTCTCATCCAGGTCAAGCAGGGTCTAGGCCCAGCTCCTTTGTGCACAGAAGAGCTCCTCTTTGGTGCATTTCAGTTTGTCCTCCAAGTCATCGACTGCCTCTTCCAGTTTGCCTACTGATTTGGCAGCAAATTCAGCGCAGGTCTCTGCCTCTTGAGCTTCTCAGCCTGAAGCTTTTTCTCTTCCTCGTATTTGCCTCCTTTCTGATAGCCCACAGTCCAACCATTACACACAGTTTCCCCAGCAGCTGTCAGGCACTCAGGTTCTGGTGCATCAGTCTCAAATCCTCTCACCCATCTCTCAGCAATGGGGCCCTGCCAGCTCGGCTCATTCCTCTGTGCCTTCCAAGTCTCCTTCAGTGATCACCACAATGTACGGGCCCCCTCTGCACACCTCCCATCTGCCTCTTCTGCAACCTAAAACTCCTCCTTTTCACTGAGGTTGCTTCATGCCTACACAATCTGCTCCATAAACTCTTCTTAGCTCCCCAAATCCCATGACCTCCTTGGTCTTTTCTATTCCCCCTGCCTAACTAAATGTCCCAGTTCCAGTCTTGAAGAGCTGCCCACTGCTTCTGACACTAAAGTGAGGCAGAGGATTGACATGTCTATATTATTTCTGGATGAAATCCTTAAATATTTTTCTTTTAAAAATTTTAATTAAATTTATTTGAAGAGCATGGGGACCAGAGGGGACCATTGAGTCACTTCTCATGCCTTCAAGGGATAGGGCTGGGTCAGGGCAAAGCCAAGAGGCAGAAACTTGATCCAGGTCTCCCATGTGGGTGGGAAAAACCCAACTACTTGAGCTATTGCCTATGGCTGGGATGCGCAGTAGCAAAAAACTGGAATTGGGAGCAGACCTGGGCTCTCCAATATAGGATGCAAGTGTCCCAAATGATGTCCAAAGCATTATGCCAAATGTCTGCCCCTAAATCTTTTCCTTTTGTTTAGACCAAACCATCTTTAGGACTGTCATCTCCACAATTTTGATACGTGATAATGCTAAATCTCTGCTTTTTTACCAAAGGATGCCTTAAACCCTTGGGATAATGAGGGTGACATAGAAAGGAAGGAGAGAGAAAGAAAATCCATTACATTCCAGAGAGGGAGATCAGAGTTCACCAGCCAATGCCCTGGCCAGCCCTCGGCATGAAGTGGAGATACAGTAACAGGCCGAGCAGGAGCTGCTATTAATTATTAATTGCTCCTGTCACCTCGAAATCTGCCCAGACCAGCCACCGAAAAAGAAAGAGTCACGAGTCACAGTGCCCTGCCTTGCCATCTTTGCAAGAAGCTGAGCTTAACTCGGGTCTAGGTTACCTCCCAGTCAGAGGAGAGGAGAGCTTTGGCCCAGAGGTGAATCGTCTCTGGTAGTGACACCTTGAGGCTTATGAGGCTGGAGGAGCAGGCAGCTGTTGGCCTCTGAGGAATCTCTAAGGGGATTGCATTTGCAGCAGAACCTTTATGCTACCATGTGTCCCCAAAGTTCATTTCCAATTTCTTCCATTCCTCTTGGAAACTGAGTAGTAAGCTTCAAATCATGCTAAACATGTGATTCAAACTAAAAGTCACATGATAGCCCACAGTCCAAGCCAAAAGCTGATTTTCCTAGGAGAGGTGGGGTTGTGAAGCCATCTGCCCATCTTTGAAGTATCTGGTAGAAACCATCACACGGCCATTGAAATGCTCCTGAACCTGTTTCCTAATGAAAATTGTCCAAGATATCAGGTAATAGCTGATTCAAAAGTAACAGGAAATCCAGGGAATTAAATGTTTACCAAATAAGTCATTTTCCAGCATTCTAAAAACATTCACAAAAAGAAACAAATGCCTCAATCCTTTTTCATCAGCCATGAACTTTTCTCAGAAAGTCTGAGTTTGTGATATGTCCCACTAATTTAAGTAAATGCTGGACTTAACAATTTAGTTTGATTACTACATTAGTGCCCTTCCATATACTCTCATGGCAAGCTGAGATTATAATGGCAGACTTGAAAAATTAGCTTTAATTTGCTTTAATGCAACAAATAAAGGAGTGTTGATAACTCTTGCAGGCCTAAGTCAAAATAATATTTACTTGGCAATTCTCAAGTATAGAGACTGCAGAGACAAAACTGTTCTAGATTGTATAAGAAAATATTTTTAAAGACTTGGGAAACCGAACACTTGAGATTCAAAAGTCTGACTCTCATAATCGGAAAAAATTAGAACACAAAGAAAAAAGAGGGGGAAAATGAAAATGTAAATGATATAAAAAAACTCTCATAATTTCTCCCTGATCTCGCAACAAAATCTTTCATTAAGATTTCCCAGACATAGGAGAGTTTTTCTGCTAATCGAGGAGAATTGGACAGGAAATAATCTTTTTAAAATAAAAGGACAAGGACATTGGGACAAAGTTCACAGCTAAAGACAGGGCTGGCCACAAAGTTTCCCACACCTAATGAAATTAGGATTTTATGGTAAAACAAAACAAAAACAAAAACCAGTTCTTATTCCCAGCTTCCCAGAGAAATCATTTCCCAAGCCAGACACTTGGGTAGTTTCAACAGTGTGGACCTGTGGCAGGATGACATTTAATTGCCTGACCATTTATATTTATAAGATCTACATTTTATTTGTTGTTTCTTTAATGAATAACCCTTACTGCTCAATTCCAATAATACCTAATATTTTGTTGTCAGATAGAAAAATCATAGGCTATGTCATATAATAACTCTTGAATCTATTTTCCTAAATGTCACAAATAAAATAGTCCTTGAAAAAGTTTGTGGAAAAGTAGAACTAAAAAAATGAGTTTATTTTGGTGCAAAAAGATTTGACAACTATACATATGGGAGGTGTTCAAAAAGTTCATGGACAATGTGTTTTATGAAAAACTACACAGATTTCAAAATCTTTTTGCACCAAAATAAAACGTACGTTTTAGTTCCACTTTCCCATGAACTTTTTTGAAGTATGCTGGTAAGCTTTATCAACAGTTTATGAGTATTATCTGATAATGCCTTTTTCGTTAAAAGAATCATGATCTCACAGGCAATAGATAACAGCAGAATGGTAGGGAAAAAAAAAACAGGCAAGGGCCGGCTCCTTGTAACACGGGATTCATGCAATGATAACAGGAAGTTACAGTTCAAAGAAAAAAGCAAATAGTATAGTCATTGGCCTTGTTATAAAAAGGTGTGCCTTATTGCCTGTCTCCTGTTGAAATGACCTTGGTGTGGTAATGATGAAAGAAACAAGTCAGCTCTAGTAGATGCCCATGGTCTTGTTAGGGACTCGCACCCATTAAGCATCAGCTTTGTATAAAAGAACACAACTAACATTATCACAGCTATTTACAGTGAATAATCACAACACTTTGAAATCAGGTATTTCCTCCGCATGGGGAGGATTTGGACTAGATGACTAATCCCAGACTTGCAACCAGGAAACCCAAGCACCAGACCAACACAGCGATCCTTGCTCACCGCCTCCATTCAGTTAAGACGACAAAGGCATCCACTGTCTGCACTTCCTTTCTCAAGTCAACCTCCATCCGCTTGTAGGAAAAAGTTCTCCACAAGTTCATTCTTTCTCAAACTTGATCTACGGTGAAAGTCAGAAAACCTGTTCAGACTGTTGACCAGCTGACTTGATTTGTTCAGCCAGCACAGTGTTTTGGTTTTCCTTTGTTTGTTGTATCTTACTTGGTTTTGCTTTCGAATGAATGCATTTAAGGATAGGAGTTCCACCCTACAGTTGGTGCTAGGCCCACTGTTTCCTGTTACCTTATAGCTTGGGTAGGCTAGTTGTTTTATCTGCCTGGCCAGGTAGGTGAATGGTGTTGTAACCTCTGCCTGACATACTTTTGCTTGTATACATCATAAACAGTGATGCCACAATTTGTTCTGTGTTCCATGTTGACTGTCCCCCAATATCTCAGTGTCGAGCTTTTCATCTGCCGTCTAAAATATTCATCCACATAGAACTAGATCCTACTGCCTGTCACCTTCATGGGTAATACCTGTTCTCGCATGCATGACAGAGAAAGAACAGGTGACCTGAGCACATCACCCATCAAGGGTGCAGTGCGTCCTCCTAGGTACCGCAGGATGGTTTCTAAATCTTTTTCTTTTAGTGCGCGTGCTGTGCAGAAGGGAATTCAGTGGTTAAATATCATTTTATCCATATCACAAACACAGGTAAGAAGTAAGTGACCATTACCAGGACTGGCATTTTCTGAAGGAAGATTGCCACACATAGACATAGAACTCACTTGACCCCCAAGGCTCTCTTAGAAGTGAGTGGCATCAGTGGGGAAGCAAAGGCCATTAGTTAAGTGACATCTGCAAAGGTAATTGATTCTAGCTCTAACCGCTGTCTTCTCTTCAGATGAAAATGTAAGGGGCAGTAAGGTCTCCTTGATTTAACACATTTAGCAATCATATCTGAAATTTAGAAAGCAAAGTGAAAAATGATCCCTCGTTTCATGCTTACAGCCTGTGAGTTCTGGGTTTCCCATGTACAGGTGGGAAAACTGACTTCTAGATCCTCAGAGTCCAGAGCAGCAGCCAGTGAACCACAGTCCTGGCTGAATCTGGCTGCATGATCGTTAAGCCTAGGATGGTTTTTACATTTTTGAGTGGTTGAACAGTAATAACAACAACAAAAACACAGCAAACAATATTTGTGACACCAGGAATATATGAAACTCATGGTCTGCAAATTAAGTTTCATTGCAGTACAGCCATGCTTGGTCATGAGGTATTGTCTCAGGCTGTTTTCTTGCCACAACGGCAGAGTTGAGTGGTTGGGACAGCCATGTACAGCCAGCAAATCTAGATGAAATATTGGCTGTCTGGTCCTGGAAACCCTTTCTGACCTCCGGTCCAGAGCGATGAAGTGAACTGCCGAGCTGATACAGCTGGTGCGTTTCACAGGGAGGCCTGAGTCTGATGTTCCTCCTGTTTGAGCATTCTTTGTGATCTGAGTAGAAACACTTTTACCCAGATTTATTTTCCGCTTGGCATCATCAGAACAAATGCTACCCAGCTTCAGCTACGAAAGATCAGCTCAAATGTATTTTATTATTATCCTATCAGACAGCACTTTTTTCTATTATTATAGATTTTTCTCTCTACCTCTCTCCCATTTAGGCCCACATTTTAAAAGGGGCTTGCTCTGGAGAAGATGACCAGGAGATTCTTCTCCTCAAGTCTCTTGTTTCTGTGGCCTCAGACCCTTGAAGAACAAGGGCTGAGAATGTGGCTCTGGGAGGAATGTGGAAGACAGGGAGAGACTGCCTCTTCTTCTGGCTGGACACAGAGGGTGTGTTGGGGGGAATCAGTGACAGGAGCCCGTCCTTGATCTCTGACATGGTGTTAGGGATAACAATGGGATCTCAGAGGGACACCAGACAGGTTGGATTCTGAGGCCCAGGAATTCTGCCCTTCCAAGAGTCCCGTACCCATGAAGGGCCGGATGTGGCCAAGCAGCAGCCAATGAGAACCAAGGTGACTGGAAGGACAGGGGACTCAACCTCAACACATGACAGAGGAAGTTCTCAGAACCAAGAATCCTGAGGGTAGAAGAGCAGAGGTGTGGCAGGAGGTGAGCCTCCTTTGGGAGCCGGAATCAGTTGAGACCAGGGGCATGGACGACTCGGACCGTCTGAGGTTGAGCATGCTGCCTCCCTGAGGGAATGGGAATTCAGAGCCAGTATTTGGGGTAATTTGTACAGAACGTAGAAAAGGAATGAATGCCCACTTGATTTGCATATTTAGGTTTGGATGAGCTATGCTGTTGGAAGTCCCCATTGACAATGCAAATCACAAAGACATCACCTCTCCATCTAAAAGTTCTTGCTGAATCTTCTGAGTTCTGATCCTCAAAGAATTTTTGGAAATCCTGCAGATATTCTTATGTTGGTGACCTTGTTCTGCAGCCCACCCTTCTCACCCTCAGGGCGTGGCTGTCCCTTCTCACCCCACTCTTGCTTTCTTGACCTGATGAACTGAGGCCATAGATAGAAAGAGCTCTCTTACCTCGTTTAAGCACAAGCAAATCAGGCTACGGTATCAACAACACTTTATTAAATGCTTGGGAAAAACCAAGAGAGGGTATGAAAAACTCATACACTCATTTCAAGTTACTCACAGGCCTGTTCCCAAGTTCACTTTCTGTTTTTAGCAGATTTCCATGTGGCAGCTCCCAGCTTAGGTGGTACTCATAGCACTTTACTACAGACATCAAATTCCTTCTCCAGAGAGAGGAGCAGGTCTCGGCTTTCCCCAGTCTAAAACTCTTCATTTTGAATCCCAGAATGACTTAGAGTGACAATGTCCCTCTCCTGGAGAACAGTCCACCCCACCCACAGGCTATGATCCAACCTCACAAACTCCAACTGTATGGCCTATAACCTGGGCTATTTATGCTTAACTGATGCTCTCAACAGCACACCAACAATCCCATAATAGTCTGTGTGTTTAGGAGGAAGTGCTCTCAACATACTCTACAGACTGCCAAGTCTCCCAGTCTGTGCCTCTGCATGGTCACTTTACCTTCAAGAGCTAGACACAACCATCATCAAGTGCCCATTTATTGCTAACTTTTCTAACACAAGATAAGACTTCTCCAAAGTGGAGTTACATACTATAACTCTAGAGATCCGGTGGCTGATAACTCAAAGGGAAGTTTTTGTCCTAAGACGGAGTTTCTTTCTCTGACTTCCCTTCCTCTACCATTCCAACACTCTACAGAATAGCACCACTGTGAATCAGAGGAGAAACCTTCTCACCAGGCTGTCATTGTAGGTAAGATTTCCCGTGAACTTTTGTTTTTGTTTTTGTTTTTTTTATTTTTTTGACAGGCAGAGTGGACAGTGAGAGAGAGAGACAGAGAGAAAGGTCTTCCTTTGCTGTTGGTTCACCCTCCAATGGCTGCCATGGCCGGCGCACCGCGCTGATCCGATGGCAGGAGCCAGGTGCTTCTCCTGGTCTCCCATGGGGTGCAGGGCCCAAGCACTTGGGCCATCCTCCCTGCACTCCCTGGCCACAGCAGAGAGCTGGCCTGGAAGAGGGGCAACTGGGACAGAATCCGGCGCCCCGACCGGGACTAGAACCCAGTGTGCCAGCGCCACAAGGCGGAGGATTAGCCTAGTGAGCCGCGGCGCCGGCCACCCATGAACTTTTGAAGACCCCTTGTACGTTCCTGTGTTCCTGCATTCACTCAGCAAATATCTCCTGAGCATTTATTATGAGCTTGGGCATATTAGCTAATCTTCAGTGACATCAGATGTCTAGATTTCACCCATATTCTTATGTAGAATAATAGAGATTTCTATTATTGCTTCAAAAATGCTTACTATTCCTTTTAAGTTTGTAAAAGAGCAGAGTCAAGAAATGGCTGATAAAAAGAAATCAGGAGAGACAGAGAGGTTGTCCACACCACAGTTGCTTTCATAAATGTGTTTGAAATTAGAGGGTTTTTAAAGACCCATCCCTGGTATGGCCCTTCCTGAATGCTGCTTTTTATGGGTGGCGAACCTCAGGGAGCTCAGCCGTGTGCAGCCTGTAGCAGACTGCGGACTCGGGCAGCCAGGGCGAGGTCTGGGGAAGCAGGAGGGCTGTGGCTTCCTGTCCTCTCCACCTGACCTCCAGCCTAGCAAAGATGCCAAGAATGCCAGTTAATCAGCTTATCCCCTGGGAATTACCCAATCCTCCCATTTTGCCATAGAAACTTAGACCCGCTCCCTGAAGTTGTTTGCCAGATTGCTTGTTGGTACAAACGTTAGTGAGTTGAGATCCTGCAGAAAGAAAAGGTTATCTTTTTTTCCCCCTTTCTTGGTGGCATTTCATAATTTTGAAGCACAGCAAAAGACATCAGAATGCCTGTGAGTGAAGAGCTCAGGCTGGGGATGGGGGATGGGGGATAAGGGATGGGGATGGGGATGGCAAGCATCAGGTCACACTGATGGAGCCACAGAACCTAATGAAATTTTAAAATTTAGAGCAGCAGGTGATTTCACACAGCAGTAAAGTTGCCTCTTGGGAAACCCACATTCCATACTGTGAGTGCCTTCTGTAAGTTCGGGACTCCACTTCCTATCCAGCTTCCCCCTAATGCACACTCGTGGAGGCAGCAGATGATTGCTCAAGTACTTAGGTCCCTGCTACCCGCATGGGAGACCAGATGGAGCTCCTAGGTCCTGGCTTTGACCTAGCCCAGTTCCTCACTACTGTGGGTTTTTGGGGACTAAAATACTAGACAGAAGAACAATTACTCTGTCTTTCACATAAAATGAACATGAATAAATGAATAAAGTTTTAAAAATTGAATGGTCCCCTAGAGTGATCTATCATTTGAGATAGCATAGTCCCATTTGCTACTTTTCCAGTCAGAGCTGGAGAACTTAATGCTTTCTAGGACGAAGGAATTAAGTTTAAAAAGAGAGCCTGTGTCTATACTTAACATCCCTTTGTTCAGGAAAGAAACGAATGAAATATCTGCATTACAAACCGAATACTTGAGAAGTCTCTTTCAGAGGATGATCCCTGAGAAGCATCTTTCTCATTGGTACTGAAGCTGACCTTTAATAGAGGAGTCCTTCACCCCCCTTCCTCTGCCCCAAACCACATGCATACACACACACACACACACACACACACACACACAGAAACATCTATTGCTTGGATGAATTCTCTACAGGAGTAAGTCTTTGGATGAGATGACAAGTATTATGCTACTAATTGGAAAATAGAGACAAATTTTTTTCTGTTGATACTATTACAGGTGGCAATTAAAAAAATTTTTTTTGAGAAACTGGGAGACAGATAGACAAAGACAGAGATCTTCCACCCACTGGTTCACTCCCCAAAGGCCCACAACAGCCCCAACTGGGCCAGGCTGATACCAAGAGCCAGGAACTCAATCCAGGTCTCACACAGTGGATGGCAGGGACTCAGCTATTTGAACCATCACCTCCAGCCTACCAACATGCACATTAGCAGGAAGCTGGAATCAGCAGCAGAGCCAGACTGTAACGTAATCACTGTGATATGGAATGTTCGTGTCCTAAGCCATGTCCTAATGGCTATACCAAATGCACACTCCTATCTATATGTTTGACTAAATGACATATTTTTTAGCATGTATTTATTTATTTATTTGAAAGGCAGAGTTACACAGAGAGGCAGAGAGAGAGTCTTCCATCTGATGGTTCACTCCCCAGATGGTTGCAATAGCCGGAGCTGCGCCGATGCTAAGCCAGGAGCCAGGAGCTTCTTCCAGGTCTCCCATGTGGTGCAAGGGCCCAAGGACTTGGGCCATCTTCCACTGCTTTGCCAGGCCATAGCAGAGAGCTGGATTTGAAGTGGAGCAGCTGGGATTCGAATTGGCACCCATATGGGATGCCGGCACTGCAGGCAGTGGCCTTATCCGCTGTGCCACAGCACCAGCCCCTAACTCACAGTTTTTCCAGATGTGTGTTAAGTAGGTTCAGCTGGCTGTGGTGTGTAAATCTGAACAGGGAACTGCCAATCTGATTTCTTTAGCACTCTGTCCAGATAAAGGAAAAGAGGGAATTAATCGTTTTATATTGTTTACAGGCAGCAGGGATAGAGGGCTTGGTTAGAAGACAGGTTCTGTAGGAATTTCCCCAGAGTGAGGCTGATTAGAATCTGTGTTGAAGTGAGCAACGTAGCAAGTGCATCATACCATGTCTTACACATATGACATGCTTGTAGATGCTGCTTCCTGATGTTCTGGTTACCAAAGTCACATTGGAGAAAAGGAAATGTTATGATGGCTTTGTAAAAGAACTAACTAATAACACTGCCTGGAATGTCCACATCCCATATTGGAGCACGTGGGTTCAAGTCCAAGCTCTGCTCCCCATTCCAACTTCTTACTAATATACACTCTGGGAGGCAGCTGCTGATGGTTCAGCTAGTTGGATACCTGCCACCCTGAAAAATATTGAAATAATCTAAATAAAGATAAGAAAAATAAAATAAAAAAGAGAGAACAAACAGAAAATAAGTGATAAAACAGCATAGTTAAATTCCCTTTTAGCATTGGTTACATTAAATGTAAATGGCCTACATATATCGATTAAAACAGTGGCAAATTAGATTAAAACCATGGATTATACTCTGATCTAGAAACCCTCATTTCAATATATTCAGGTTAAAAGGTTTAAAATGTAAAAGATAAATAATGCAAACACTGACTAAAACGAGGCAAGAATGGTTATATTAGTATCAGATAAAGCAGACTCCAAAGCAAAGAGAATGACCAGAATTGGAGAGTGACAAGTAATATGATTTTTTTTAAAGATGACATCACAATGCTGAAAGATCATGCACAGAAAAAGCAGAGCTGCAAAGTATGTGAAATGAAACTAAGTAGACTGAAAGGAATCCACAGTCACAGCTGAAGATGTCAACTGATAGAGCAACGAGACAGAAAATCAGGAAGGAAATAGAACCCCGAAGTGACATTAATCAAAAGGACCTACCCAACACTCAGAGAACTCTCCACATAACATGAAAACAATACAGCTTCTTAAGTCACCTGAAACCTGTGCCAAGACTGTATCCTGTGCTATTAAACAAATACCAACATATTTAAAATACTTGAAAGCGTAGAGAGTCCACTATGAAATAAAACTAGAAATCAGTAACAGAAAGATATAGGAAAATCTCAGATTTACAAGCTAAACAACACTCTTCTGAGTAAAACCATGAGGGAAAAAAAAGAAGTCCCCAGAAAAATTTACAAATACATTGACCTGAGGCCAGCATTGTGATGCATCAGGTTAATCCACTGGCCCACAATGCTTGAATCATATATGGGCACCAGTTTAAGTCCTGCTGCTCCACTTCCAATACCAGCTCCCTGGTAATAAGCCTGGGAAAGCAGCAAAAGATAGACCAAGTCCTTGGGCCCCTGCTCTTTCGTGGGAGACCTGGACAGAGTTCCAGGTTCCTGGCTTCCGCCTATCCCAGCTCTGGCTGTTACGACCATGTAGGGAGTGAACCAGCAAATGTAAGATACTTCTCTCTCTCCCCTCACCCCCCTCCCCGTTCTTTTCCCTCTCTTTCTAGCTCTGCCTTTCAAACAAATATATCTGTAGGGAAAAAAAATACATTGACCTAAATGAAAACAAAAATACAACTATCAAAAGTTTTGCACCAGTGCTGAGAGAGAAATTTATAGCACAAAGTGCATGTACTATAAAAGAAAAGTCTCAAGTCAGTAATTAAGCCTCCATCTGAAAAACCTAGAGAAAGGAGAAAATGAACATGAAGCACCCAGAAGGAATAAAATTAAAATGCAACAGGAATCGGTGACGTTAAAAATAGAGAAACAACAGACAAAGTCAGCTCATTGAAGAACTTTTTAAAAAAGATGTAATTGACATCCCTGCACATACAAGATAAAACCACCATGTGCTATCAGGAACTCACAGGGTATCAGCAGGGACATCAAGGGAAGATAAGAAAAGACTACAAGAACAATTCTGCAAACTTAACTTTGAAAATTTAAGAGAAAGAGTAATTCCTCAAAAAATGTGAACTACCACTACTCAGTCAATAGTAAAATAGATTGTTTGGATAGCCCTACAAATACTAAGGAGTCTAAATGAGTAATTTCAAATCTCAAAAAAAAAAAAAAAAAAATCTCAATGGTGCCCTCACAAAATTCTACCAAATAGTGAAAGAATTAACACCAATTCTATGAAATCTCTTCTGGAATATAGAAGAGGGCTGTATTAGGTGTCTCCAGGTAAACAGAACCAATAAGGAGATAGATAGATATACACATTCAAATATATTGATATGCATGGTCAGTGATGCAGCTTGTGTCCAAAAGTAATCTGTTGTCAGAATTCAGTGGAGACTGGACGAGGGTCTCCCATATTCTGGAGGGTACTCTGTTCTGCTCAATGTCTTCTGATCAACATGCTAATCTCATCTGGAAAATACTTTCACAGAAATATCTAGAACAATATTTGAACAAATATGTGAATACCATGTCCTAGCCAAGTTGACCCAGGAAATTAACCATCACAAGGAGGGAACTCCTTACATTTCTTTTTGTAAAACTATTACCCCAATACCAAAACTAAAGAAAACTAAGCTAATTTACCTCATAAATATAGACTCAAAAATTCTGTCACATAGTAGTATTTAGTGGTAATGAAGAGTATAACATGGCAAAGCAAAGTTTATTCCAGGCATGCAAGACTGTTGAAATACTAAAAATTCAGTCAATTGCTATCTACCACATTAACAGCTAAGGAAGAAAAATCACATGACCTAAATAATTGATGCAAAAAATATTTGCCAGAATTCAATATCTATTCATGAATGAAAACTCTGAGAAATAGTGAAAGAAGAAAATTAATCAGTTCAGTCTGCTATGGCAAATGTATTCTCTTGATGAAAAACATCCACAAAAATGTTAAAAATTGAACCTGTGTTCAATGACAAAAGTCTGAATGTTTTTCCCCTGAGAGTAGAAACAAGGTGAAGTGTCCAGAGTCACCATTCTTATTCAGCAGAGTGCTGGAAGCTGCAGCTTAGTGCAGCAAGGCATGGAAAGAAAACAAGAGGCATACAGACTCGAAAAGAATCATAACTGTCTCTATTTGAAGATTTTCAGAAAATCTCAAGCATCAATAATAACCACAAGAACAACAAAAACTTCCTAGAATAAGTGAGCTCAGCAAGGCCTCAGGATCAAACATAAAATTTGAGTACAAAAATTTATTATGTCTCTGTGTAGTAGCAATGGACACAAAATAAAAACACCAAAGTTAAAAATGAATTACCATTACCATCACTTTTAAAAAAAAATCTATAGCTGTATAGGACTTGTATGCTGAGAATTTCAAAATGATAATAAAAAA